CTCTTTTTCTTTTGGCACTTTGAATATGTCATCTCACTGTTCTCAGCTCTTCACTCTTTCTGTTGAGAAGTCAGCTGTTAATCTTATTTAGGTTTCCTTGTATGTGATGAGGCATTTTCCTCCTGCTGTTTTCAAAATTTTTCCTTTGTCTTTTGACAATTTGACCATATTTGAGTTTATTCTACTTAATATTTGTTCAGACTTTTGAATATATTAAGATTAATGGATTTTCTGTTTTAAAAACCAAATTTGGAACTTTTCAGTTATCCTTCTGATATCATCATCATTTGAATATTGATTTGATTAATGGTATCTCACAGATCTCTAAGACTCTGTATTTTTCTCCATTCTTTTTTCTTTCTGTTCTTCAGTTTGGATAATCTCTTTGTCTCCAAGTTCATTTATTCTTTTTGGCGAGTTCAAATCTGCTTTTGAGCTCCATTAGTGAAGTTTTCATTTCAGTTATTGTACTTTTTAACTCCAAAATTTTTATTTGTCTTTTTAAAAAATTTTATAATTTCTGTCATTATTATCTGTATAAGTGAGGCATTGCTATTTTACTTTCAATAATTATTTAAACATGATTTCTTTTAGTTCTTTGACCATATTTATAACAGTGATTTGAAATCTTTGTCTATTAAGTTCTACATCTGGGTTCTCTGAAGGACAGTTTCTATTGCCTTTTTTCTCTCTGTATAAACATGTTTTACTGTTTCTTTGCATTTCTGGTAATTAAAAAACAACAATGGAATGTTTTAGATAATATATTGCAACAACTCTGGATTCTGATCCTCTCAAAGATTAGTTATTTTTGTTGCTTTGCTTGTTTGGTGACTTGCCTAAGCTGAGTCTGTTCAATGTGTGGCCAATGAAGTCTTTACTCCAGTTTTTAATTTTTTCAACTACTGTTTTTATTTTTAAGCCAGGTTTCCTACAGTGGTTGTCCCTGGGTCAGCATAGCTGAAGGGTAATCCAGTGATTGTTCAGAAATTTACCTTAAACACCTTGAACTAACAAGGCTCCCACTCTTGCTAAGAGGTCTCTGTATGGGCTGGTGTACACATTTAAAGTTCAGACAGTTTATAATTCTTCCTTCCTTAATGTTCACTTTCTGTTTGCACAGAGCCTTATGGTCAGCCAGAAATTCTGAGACCCTCTGTTTTTTCCTGGGTGTGAATGCAATCCTGTACACATGCATATTCATCCAGATCCCAAGGAATATATTTGAGATTTTTAAAACTACTTTGGCTGCCTTATTTTCCAGATATTTCTCTTAAAATTTTTTCTGATCTCTTGGTTGCTCCTACAAGTTTTGCAGCCTTGGACAGATACACTGTTGGCTCTCCCAGTTGTTTGCCACTTATTACTATTGGTTTAAAAATGCTTTAGTTATGGGACTTTTCTGGGAAGCTTGAGATCAAATCAGGCCCATCCTTGATAGTGAGGCTTCTGGTCTTTGTGACTATTTTACCAAGGACTTATATGGAAGGGATGGGAACAACTCCAAATTAAACTGTCATAGAGTCCACTGTGACTGAGCCACCAGCTTAGTGACAGCCTTTATCATTAGGAAGAATGGCTAGAAATGTAATTAGAGGCCAGGGATAAGGACTTGAATATCTGCTAGGGAATTTGGAGAACTTCTCTAAAGAGGGGAAAGAAGGAAGTGGTGTGTTAACCCTGTGGATTACCAAAAAGTAGCTAGGTCAGACAGATTTAATGCAATTCCTATTAAATTCCCAATGACATTCTTCACAGAAATAGAAAAGGCAATCATGAAATTCATTTGGAAAAATTAGAGATCCAAAAGAGCCAAAGAAATTTTTAGCAAGAAAAATGAATCAGGAAGTATCATAGTACCAAAAGTTGAATTATACTACAGAGCCATAGTAACAAAAAAGGCATGGTATTGGCACCAAAACAGATACATAGACCAATGGTACAGAATAGAAGACACAGAGACAAATCCACATAAATACAATTATCTCATACTAAACAAAGTTGCTAAACACATATATTGGAGAAAAGAAAAGATAGCCTCTTCAACAAATGGTGCTGGAAAACTAGAAGTCCATATGTAGCAAAATAAAATTAACCCCTATCTCTCATCCTGAACAAAAATTAACTCAAAGTGGATCAAAGACTTAGGCACTAGAACAGAGACAGAGCACCAATAGAAGAAAAATTAGGCCCAAATTTCCACCATGTCAGCTTAGGAATTGACTTCCTTAACAAGACTCCTAAAACCCAAAAGGAAAATCAAGAATCAACTAATGGGATGGAATCAAACTAAAAAGCTCCTTCACAGCAAAGGAAACAATCAATAACATGAAGAGAGCCTACAGAATGGGAAAAATCTTTACCACACATACTTCAGATAGAACATTAATCTCCAAGATATACAGAGAACTCAAAAAACTTAACACCAAAACCCCAAATAACCCAATCAATAAATGGGTAAAGGAACTGAATAGATACTTCATAGAAGAAGAAACACAAATATATGGAAAAATGTTCAACATCTTAAGCAATTAGAGAAATGTAAATCTAAATTACACTGAGATTCCATCTTACACTAGTCAGAATGATAACCATCAAGAATACAAGCAACAATAAATATTGATGAGGATGTGCAGGGAAAGGTACACTTACACATTGCTGATGGGACTGCAAATTGGTGCAATTACTCTAGAAAGCAGTATGGAGATTCCTCAGAAAACTTGGAATGGAACCACCATTTGACACAGTCATCCTACTCCTAGATTTATACCCAAAGGACTTAAAATCAGCATACTGCAGTGATGCAGCCATATCAATATTTATAGCAGCTCAATTTACAATAGCTAAACTATGGAACCAACCTAGGTGCCTTCAACAGATGAATGGATAAAGAAAATGTGGTACTTATACACAAAGGAATATTATTCAGCCTTAAAGAAGAATGAAATTATGGCAGTTGCCAATAAATGGGTGGAACTGGAGAATATTATGCTAAGCGAAATAAGCCAATCCCAAAGAACCAAAGGTCAAATGTTCTCTCTGATATATGGATGCTAATTCACAATAAGGATGGGGGAAGAATAGAGATATTTTGTACCAGACAGAAAGGAGTGAAAGGAGGGGAGGGGACATGGGTGTAGGAATAATAGTAGAATAAATAGGACGTCATTACCCAATATGCATATATGATTACATGAACTGTGCAACTCTACATCATTGTACAACAAGAAGAAAGAGAAGTTATACTCCATTTATGTATGATGTGTCAAAATGCATTCTACTCTCATGCATAACTAATTAGAACAAATTAAAGAAAATTTTTTAAAAAGGTAACTAAGGATGATGTAACCCTGTGGAGTTTTTGCTTGTTTTGTCTGTTAGACTAATGTTTTCATTATCAAATGGCAAATTCTATAAGAAGACATTATTTTGGTAAGACCACAGTACCTGGCAAGTGGATTTCCTAGGGTGAGTGAGCAGAAACATCTGCAAAGCTCCTAGAAAGTGCCATTTAATGTTGTGGTTGGTGTTGAGTATTGGGTTCATGGGAAGGGAATAGGAGGGATGAGTTCAAGTAGGAATTTCTCCTGAGAGTTTTCCTAGGAGTCTTGTTCAAATACCTTGGGGTGTGATGAATGGCAGGAAGAAAATCCTTTCAGAGTTTGCACAAATTATATTTTTGTTGAACGTGCCAGTATAAGCAATCCTGCTACTCTGATGCTATTATTCGTGCTTTTCTTTATCCTGCCCTACCACTCCCATCAATGATTCAGAATGTGAATGGCCTTTGATTAGCAAGCTGATAGACTGCTATGATACCAAGAAAAAAAAGGGAGAATTTCTAGGAGAGGAAACACATTCATGCACTCTTCTCCTCACTCTGTCTAGAACCAGGTCCTCCAAGCAGAGGTACATCAGGTTGTACAACTACTGTCTTATTTCATTGTGCTACTATAACAAAATACCATGAACTGGGTAATTTTTAAACAATTAAGATTTACTTGACAGTTCTGGAGGCTGGGGAGTCCCAGATTGAGGTGCCAGCCTTTGGTGTTTGGTGAGGGCCTATTGGATGAATTCTCAGGTGGCAGAAGGTGCCGTAGCTGCTTTCTCACATAGGAGAAGGCAAAGGTAAAAGGGACGAATCCCAAGTCCTCACATGACCAAAGAGCTGAAGAGAACAAACACACTGGTCTCATTCACAAAGGCTCTGCCCTCTGCTTAATCACCTCCTGAAGGGCCCACCTCTTGATACATTGCGCTGGTGATTAAGTTTCAACATATGAATTTTGGCTGACCTTGGAGATTTCAATGGGTGGCTTGTGATCTGCTGTAGACTGAATGTTTGTGTCCTATTTCAAATTTATCTGCTGAAGCCTTAATCCCTAATGTCATGGTTAGAGGTTGTGCCTTTGGAAGGTTAATTAGGTTTAGATGCAACTTGTGAGGATGTAGCTTCCATGATAGAATCAGTACCCCCAGAAAACTAGGAAGAGACAGGAGATCACTTTCTCTGTGCACGAAGGCACCATGCAAAGGTCATGTGAGGACGTAATCAGGGAGAAGTCCTTACTATGCTGGCACCCTGATCTTAACTTCCAGCTTCCAGAATCCTGAGAAATAAATGTTGGCTGTTTAAGCCAACTGGTTCCATGGCAATTTGTCACAGCCGTCCAAACTGGTGAAGACATAATCCATTTAGAGACGCCAGAAATGGTTTAAGAGATGTCGTATGGTTAATAAAAAGAATATCCCAAAATTTTGATTGTTTATGTCTTCATAGGAAAGATGATTGGAAATGAGAACTAACTTGGAAAGTCTGAATGTTGCTAAAGCATTAGGAAGAGTAGATTAGAAAGAGAGGATTGGGAGAGATGGGAAGCAAATTCTCCAGACACTGGCTAGGATGCAGACGCAAGTGGGAACAGCAGTCCAGAGGACCAGAGGAGACTGGCCTTGAACTATTCCTTCCCTAACTCCTCCTCACAACTCAGCCTTCCATATATCTTTCCGGTGTCAGTCCCAGGATAGACAGTCCAACAGGGAACAAAGCATCGGCCTCCAACAGCTGCTGGTCTTTTCATAGAATAATAAAACGACCTGTTTGGTCTGGAAGATTTCCTTGTCCCACGGTGTCAGTCAGCCCCTCCTGTTGACACCGGAGCCAGCTTTTCCTCTCTCTTCCTATGGCTGTGGCATATGATTTCATCAGAGGGAGAACATTTCCTTTGGCACACCTCTACCACCCACTTGCTAGACTCAGTCAGCAGAGCAGTTTCCCTTCTTCACCCAGCAGAACACTCGGTGCTGTTTTTAGGTAAGTCCTACCTTGAGGGGAGAGCAGGCTGCCAGGTCGTGACAAACACTGGAGACAGCTCCTTGAGTCTTCCCTGACAACGGGTTTCTGGGGGTGGGGGGGGGTGCCAACCCAGTTTTAAAGGGATGGCAGGGCTGCAGATGGAACATGGAAATAAACGATTGCCCTGGGCCAATTCCACAGACAAATGCCGAGCTAATTTCTGCTCAGTAAGAGTGTTATGTATTTGCTGGTCAGAATCTGCCAAAAAAGCTCAAGTTCGTATGCTTAGAGCTGCAGTTCCCCTTCTGTCTATCTGGCTCCATTTAATGTTGAAATAGCCCATTTCCTTGTGCCTTAGGCTGAACAGTGTGGGGTCTTACATTCATAACTGAGGTGGTAATCAAGCTAATGAGGGAAGACAGAGGGAGGAGAGAGAGGCAGTTGAGTTGTAGGAATAAACATTGCCCGGCATGCTGGGTACGTGCATGCCTGTATATGTTCAGCTCCCTACTGCGGCATTCACTTTATGCTGTGAGTACAAAGCTTGCTGTTTAACCACAAGTGACTGACATTTGCCTCTCCACTTTTCTCCTTCTCCCTCTCCCTCCCTAGTGGGGGAAAACAAGACTAACATTTTTCTTGTCCAAGCCTAAGCTATGGTGTCCTTCACTGCCTGCAAGAATAAAAAAGTAAAATAAAATAAAATAAAGACTACAGACTTGAGAGCTGGATCAACAGCTCTCTCAAGGACACCCGATGGACGCTAATTGACTGTACCTACTGATAATATTTGGGTCCCAGCCCCTTGTATTCCCCTTTAATAAGCCCTGTGTTTCTCCTTTGCTAGCAAATCACTCAACTTTTTATTTTTCTCAAAACCTATTTCTCGTTATTGGATTGGCAATGGAGACAGGGACAGAGCTTTGGGTGTCATATCCACTATTCACACGTGGCTCTTCCTCTTCGTGGAGTACTTGAAGCACATTTCATCTTGAGTTGACTTTGCATTTAGAAAACGCCTTGCCTGTTTCTCCCTGTGAGTCTCTTTTTATGAATTCAAGGGAGGTAAAAATTTTTTTATCATCACCTAGGCAAAACATAATTAGAAAGGAGAATCCTCAGAACCATTGTGATATTTTCTAGAACTGAATGTGAGTGAGTGGTTTTGAATTGTTGTCCAACATGTTGAAGTGCCCTGTGTTTCTGCTCATTTCCACATCAAAGAAACCAGGCATCCACAGTAAAGTACAAACTGGTCTAATGTTAGAGTAAGAGAGGCCAAATTATATTTCTCAACTTGCATGCTGTTTTAAAATAGCTTTATTGATATATAATTCATATAATGTGCAATTCACTCATTTCAAGTGCACAATCCAATGATTTTTAGTAAATTCACAGATATATTCAACTATCACCACAGTCCATTTTAGAACATTTTCTTCACTTCAAAAGGAAACTCCATACTTTTTCTAAGATCTACAGTAAAAATGAATCTTTTACTTATTTATTTATTTCCATTAATTATACATGACAGCAGAATGCACCATGATATGTCATACATAAATGGAGTATAAGTTCTCATTCTTCTGGTTGTACATGATGTAGAATCCCACCAGTAGGGCAATCATATATGTACATAGGGTAATAATGCCTGATTCATTCTACTGCCCTTCCTACCCCCATACCCTCTCCCCTCCCTTCACTTTCTCTACCTAATTTGAAGCAACTCTATTCTTCCTTAGCTCCCTCACCCTTATTATGAGTTAGCATCAGCATATTACAGAGTTGCAGGCACATCTATGTTTATAGCAACTCAACTAACAATAGCTAAACTATGGAACCAACCTAGGTGCCCTTAAACAGATGAGTGGATACAGAAAATGTGGTAAATATATACATTCTTAAAAAAATGAAATTATGGCATTTGCTGGTAAATGCATGGAGCTGGAGAATATCATGTTAAGTGAAATAAGCCAATCCCCCAAAACCAGAGGCCAAATGTTTTCTCTGATATGCAGATGCTAACTCACAATAAGGAAACTTCATACTGAATTTCCCAATCCTATATAACCATGAAATAACCCCTAGTTCCCAACCTCAAACAACCTGCCATTTCCCATCTCTAAATAAGCACTAATCTACTTTCTGTCTATCTTATGGATATTTCATATAAAATGAAAACATAATATCTGGGGTCTTTTGTGACTGGTTTCTTTCTCTGGACATGCTTTCAAGGTTCATCTGTGTTGTTGTAGCATGTGTAAGTACTTCATTATTTCCATGGCCAAATACTATTCCCATTGAAAAGGTATACCACAATTTATCTGTTTACCACCTGATGTACATTTGGGTTGTTACCAATTTTTTTTGTCTATTATAGACAATACTGCTTTGTACATTTCTGTATAAGGTTTTGTATGGACAATGCTTATTGTAACAATCTCTATTGTCAATAAAGCCTTCATTTATCCAACCATTCAGTCATCTATTTTCTTTTTCTTTTTTTTAACTTTAATTACTTAATTTTCATGTGGTGCTAAGGATCAAACCCAATGCCTCACAAAGCAAGTACTCTACCACTGGGTTACAACCCCACCCCTGTTATTTATTTTCTATGTCAAATGTAGTAGATATTATTGGTGCCTTCCCTACACATTAATAAAACTAAGTGACTGAATAAATAAATAAGTTTGGTGGATAAATGGATAGAGTTCCAAATTATATACATATGCATATATATACGTATATGCATACCCAATACACATACATGTACACACATGCACACATGCACATACATACACACTCCATCCTCAAAGAGGTAGAAGATAACCTCATACTCCTTAAACGTGAGATGCTCATAGTGACTTCCTTCCAAAGAATGTAGTATGGAAAAACAGAATAAAAGAAACTTTACAATGTAGATATTCGAAAAATACAACCTCAGGCGATCAAGCCTAACGTCAATGGTAATAAATTATATTGCTCGTGTGTACACCTGATACGATGTATGTACTTCACTTATGTGCTTTTCCTACTAAAAAAGGCCTCTACTTATGAGAAAAACATCAGACCAATTCCAGTTGAGGGACATTGACCAAATACCCCAAAATAATCCTCAAAATCATCAAGGTCATCAAAAAGAAGAGTGTGAGAAACTGTCAGAGCTGAGACAAGCCTAAGAGACATGATGACTGAGTTTTGTGTGGTGTCCTAGGTAGGATAGGAAAAGGACATTAGGGGTAAAAAAGTGAGTAAGACTTTAATGAAATGCAAACTTTAGTTAATAGCATATCAATAATGGTTTATTGATTGTAACAAATATACCATACTAATGGAAGATGCTAATACTGGGGGAAACCAGGTATGGGGTGTACAGACCTCTGTATTTTTCCATAAATTGAAAACTATTCTAAGACAAAATATACTTTAAAAAATAGATGAAGGGATCTTGTTAAAAACACAAATTAGTTATTTTTCTAATTCTTAATCTCTTTTGCAGTTATCCATTTCTCATCAGCCACAACTTCAGTGAGAGCAGCCTCGGACAACTTCTCCAAAGCAAAGAAATCAACTCCATGATGTTGAAGAGGGAAGAGAAAAGGGCAGTGGACTGAGATTTAGGGATGCTCACTCCAGTCTCTAATTCCCCATGTAACTAGGGGCAGCTCCTTCATCTCCCTGGATCTGTTTTCTCACCACACTGTAATGAGTGGGTTGGGATGGGCGAGGGCAGGGTTTCATCTACCCTAAAGTCTTGGCCTCCACTTGTTCAATCTGCAGATCTGGCTGCTGACCTGGACCAGACTGACAGCTCTCTTTCTGACTCACCGCATTTTGCCCATCAGCAGATCTTGTGATCTCTACATGAATCTAATCACTTCTCATTTCTGCCTCTGCTGCTCCTTTGGTCTGAGTAACCACTATTCTTCCTGGGATTATCCTAACAATGTTTAAATGCCTCTCCTTGCTTCTCTTTTTACCTACTCCCAATTCCTGACCCAGGAACAAGAATGTCCTTTTAAAACAAAAGTCAAATCGTGTCACTTCTCTGCATAAAACACTCCAATGACTTCCTGTCTCACTCACTGGAAAGAACAGCCTTCTTTTCAATGGTCTCTAAAGCCTTATGTAAGGTGGACTTTCATTTATTTATGATCTCATCTCTTAACTCTCTCATCTTCAGTTGCTCCATCCACGTACTGAAATATGAAGTACATCTCTGCCTCAGGGCCTTTGAATTGCTATTCTCCCTGCGTGAAATGCTCTTTCTCCAGAAAATCATGTTGGTTCTCTTATCTCTTTCAGTCACTTAACTAAAGAGACTGTCATTGGATCATTTCATATAAAATAGCAATCTCCTCTCCATTCTACCTCCAGCAACACCTCCTGCACCATGCACTTACCCTGCTTTACATCTGTCTATATAGAACTTATCACCATCTAATGCCCAACATTTGTTGAGCTGCCTATTTTATGTCTCTTGTACATGAAAATATAAGCATCTTGAGGAATAGAAAATTTACTATGTCCACTGTTATATCTCCAATGTCTAAAACTGTATCTGGAAACTGATAGTTACTTAACAATCATGAGTTGAATAAATGAATGAATTTCAAGTGAATAAATGCTTTTGTGGGTCTGGAACTTGTCTCCAATTATACTGTCAGTGATTTGGTACAGGTCTCCTCCCTCTCATTCCTTAAAAAATTAAGTTAGACCTCCATTATTCAGGGCTTAGATTTTCATACAATGAGGCTGTCACAGTCTTCTCCTGTGGTGGTGGGTATGGATTGTCCTCTCTGCTCGAATGAAGATAAAAGGAGAGAAATAACGATGCTAGAAAAATAAATCAATTACACTTCAGAAATGTTATATTGTCATTCACTTCATTTAGCTTCTTTGTGTCTAGCTCTTTTCCTTCAATTGAACATGAGCCACTTGTAGGAAAGGCTCTGTGTTATTCATCGGTACATTCTCAATCCCTAGGATGTTGCCTAGCACACACTAGTTTATCCAGTCAATATTGGTTGATTCTGTTTTCTAGTCAATAAAAATAGAAGTACAAGGCTCGGGGTATAGTTCAGTGGTAGTGCACTTGCTTTGTGTGTACAAAGCCCTTGTTGGTTCAATTTCCAGTACCAGGGAAAAAACAAACACAGAAGTACCAGCAACATGCTCTAGCAGATTAGTTGTATTTTATTTCTCTTTGGCTTTAGGCAGAGATAAAATAGATTTTCAGTACGGACATCCCAACTGGATATAAATATGACTGCAAAGACCAGGCTAGCACCAACGATCCATTTGTAGAACAGAGACACGAGGATGACTCTGCTAGGACTTAAACTTTTTTCTGCTACTTGTGGAAACTTGAGTTTCCTCATTTCCTAATAACCATGTTGGTGAATATTATTTTATCTTCGGGTCATGAAGTGTAAGTAGTTTGAACTGAGAATTCATACCCAGGTAGGCAATGTTGCTTTCAGAGATGGCCCTCTTAAAGACACTACACCTTCCTAAAAAGTAAGTTCTAAAGGGTTAGACTTAAGTTTTAAAATAAAGTGCCACTTGAGTAGAACATTTTATACCCAGGGCATACAAAAAAAAACTTCAAAAGACATGACAATGGCAATGCAGAATGTTATTTAGAAACTGACCCTGGGGTTGTGATGAGGCTTATCCTAGTCAATATGTGTAAAGCACACAGAACAAGGACTGGCACACAGGAAGAGCTCACTGGGCAGTGGCCATCAGCACCACCCTTTAGAAGCCATCTCAGGGGCCATTTCTTCAGCCTTAGTTTGACCAGCATGTCAACCAGAAGGGATTCCCTCCGAAAAATCCCCTTTTTTTCAGGGGAAAAAGGGAGAAAGAAGTAAAGATAATGAGAAAAGAAAACCAAAATTCAGGTTGGTAGAAATAGAAATGTCACCTGCAGCATGGCCACACATGACAGCTTTCTCCAGCTCTTTCCTTCAGGTCATTAGGTCACAGAATCACAGAACAGGATGGACCACCAAGGACTTCTTAGCATTGCACTCTTCCTCCTCACACTGCAGCCTGGCAAACCTTAAGTCTATGGGGCCAGGCTACATTGGCTGCCTCGAGACAGAAACAGCAGCATTTGGGGGATAAGCAGGGTGGTGGTGTTGGGGTGGAGAATGAGGATAGAGTTTCCTGAGCTAATTTTGTGAATGTAAGAGTGTGCTTGCATGGGCTAGTGGGTGTCTGAGTGAGTGAGGATGAATTAAAGAGACTGCATCGAGGGAGACATTAGATGTGGCCTCCTACATGTTATTCGCTCTGCAAGTCCTGTGTGAAGTTAGATTTAGAATTGTCAAGTTCTGAAACAGGATCCATCTGCCACACGGGGGAAAGTCTGATTTCCTCAATGCTCTCAAAGCTCTTTACAAATATGATGAAGCTGTCATTGCCACGATCAGAGAAGGGCTTGTGTTGACTTCTCTGTTTCCTCCCTCCCTTGCAGAGCAGAGACTCCCAGGTGACTGACAGATGGTGGGGAATCCTCCCACTGCAACTCGGAGGCTGATGACTCTCATGATGAAGGCTGGCGAGTCAGTTTTGAGGACACCAGGTTTAGTCTTGGAGACTTTTTCTTTGCTTATGTCTTTTTCTTTGAAGCTATGTCACTGCTTATTGGCACTGCTCTCCTTGCACTCCCTCCCCAGTCCTGGGTGACAGGACATGGCACTAAGCTGAACAGCTCAGATGGTTTAGTCCAACAACTGTTTAATTCAAATACATTTAGCTGTGATTCCAATAGAAAAATCTCCGGTCCCTGATTGTGGGTGGAGTAACTGATTTCACTGGTCAACCTGTTTTATTAAGCAGGGCTTATGATGATCCAGCATGTTTTGGAGGGAGATAGTTTTACATTTTATTTCTCAATTTTGTTTCCATAAAGACACAAACTAGTCTTCTTTCTAAAATGATCCCCAAAGGAATTTGCTGTGACTTTAAACATTTTCTATTAGTTAAGTAGAGATCCATGTACAGATGTGTATATATGCATGTTCACACACACATACACACACACACACACACATACACACACACACACACACACACACACACACACATGATGTTTCATATGAATCCTATCTGAGAACTTCAACGTGGCTTTCACATTGCTCAGAAATGCTGGCATAAGGGAGAACAGCCCTGCCTTTCATTATGAAGGTATAATTATAAGAACTACTGATGATTTGTAACCAAGCAAGGTCTGACAGTGACAAGTCTAATTAGACATTGAAAGAGCGATGATCTACTTTTAGCTGATTGTGACTCTTTCTGATGAGAATTTTTTTCCTGAGTACAAACTGCTCACATTTACTTAAATATTGAGACAAAATAAACTAGATAAAAGTAACACGAGTTTTGGTGATCCCACGGTAGAAATTCAACCAACTAGATAAATACATAAATATGTGTACATATACATGAGTGTGTTTAAAATATGTATGAATCTGCTTTATCTCTCCTTATGTATAAAAAACAAATACAACTGAATGGTATAGAGAGGACAGACTGGCTAAGGAGCTCAAAAGCAGAGAAATGACCCAGTGGTAATTCCTTGCATTTTCTTTTTGCTTTGAATATCTCAGACCCAAGTCTGGGCTGAAGATGCTGGCAACCCAGAATCATGAATGGGCACAGACCGAAAACAACAACAACCAAAAAAACCCTCTAACAAAGGCCTGTTCTTCCTGACCAAAGGGCCAGGGAAAGGGCAGCCGAGCAAGACAGAAGATGTTCAGACAGGAAATACTCTACTTCAGCCAACATCACATAAAACCCTGTGGCCCTGCCCCTCCTACGCCAGCAAAGGCCAAATAGGGAGCCCAGATTCCCACCCCCTACAGGCTGTAATTAAGTGTTCCAACTTCTCTCCCCTGTCGGGATTGTGTTTGAAAAGATCTAGTAGGAAATAGAAACTTCCTTCTTCCTGGGTGGAACTGAGGTTGCCTTCCCTCTCCCCTGGGGTGGTGTCAGAAGAGGCCTACTCTGGACTTTTATCACTGCCCAGTGATAAAGACTTCCCCTCACCTCAGTGGAAGCCACAGTGCCTCTTAGTCAGTGGGTACCAGCGGAGCTTAGTGGGGAGCAGAAATTCCTAACCCTGTCAGGCAGTAACTAAGAACAACCTCAATTTGGCCAAAGGAAGTCAAAGGGAGAACCTGGACTTCTACCCCCACCTAGAAGTAACAGGGTGGTGTCCCCTTCTTCCTGGGTGGAGCAGGGTCAGAAGAGGCCAGCTGAGACAGTCAGACAGAAGGCTTCAGTGAGATCAGAGTCTCGTAACACAATACTCCAAATGTCCAATATTCAATCAAAAATCACTTATCACTCCAAGAACTAAGAAGTTCTCAACTGAAAAAAAGAGAGGAAAAAAAAAATCAATAGATACCAGCAGTGAGATGACAGAGATGTTGAATTATCTGACAAAGATTTTAAAGCAGCCATTGTAAAAGTGCTTCAGTGAGCAGTTATGAACACACTTGAAACCAAAAAGGAAAGTGTTGGGTGCAGAGCAGGCTGAACTGTGTTGTCTGCAGGGCAGGCTGAACAGATGTTGGCTGCAAGATAGCCCACACACTCAAACCCCCCTCTATCTAGTCCTTTATCACCTGTTTGTGTCAAGTCCCGCTCAAGGCTGAGCACTCAACCCCCCTTGGGCCAACAAGGCAGCTTGCAGACCCAGAGGCCCCCTTAGATTTGGACTATAAAAACTTCCTCCTGCCAGGCCCCCCTCTCTCTTGCTCCCTCTCTCTCTTGCTATCTCTCTTGCTTTCTCTGTCTCTCTCCTGTGTGTGCTTCCTCTCTCTCTCTCTCTCTCTCTCTCTCT